ACGATGCGTCAAACTCGCGCTTCGAGATCCGCACGGCCAGATCACGTCGATACCGCGGTTTTCATCGAATTAACAACGTTGTTGTCGCTTCAGCTGCTTTCACGTATCTGCGCGATGATCGCCGGCATTAATTGCGCCCGACAATTAAGACGATTTAACACGGCCGCAGCCGTCTCCGGAGCCGCTACTGGTCGTTAAATTAATTCCCATTTCAAATTCATTTCGCCCCTCCCCCGTGCCCCGAAACTTTATTTTCCAATTAATCCCGAATTTAATTGAAGAACGTGGAAGACACGAGAGATAAAGAGGGAGGGGAGTGAGAGACGGAGGAGGTAGAAGTTCGCTCCGCCAACTTCGATATTAAGATACCACGCGCCGGAAAATTGGTGACCGCATGGGTGTCTGGGAAAAAGTATACGTTTCCGCCGGGGTGACGCGAGTGCAAAATGTGTTTACTTTTTTATCGTGCGGTTGCGCAGCGATCGATTCTTCAATTTTCCGGCGAGAGCGAGCGCTCGTTTCGCGAATGTCGCCGTCCTCCGACGGCGCTTTACGACCCGTTCGGGTGGCGTTCGGGATCGTCTCGACGGCCGCGTAAATCGCAACGCGAGCGCGTGTCCGCGGGCCCGCCGTCGATGCTACCGGTAATCGCGTAGCGTTGCGCTTTACGGGCGCTTTATCGCGAGGGGGCGCGCGACCCCGCGTCGATTCACCGTGATTTAAGGGTGACTCTCGCGGGGGAATATTGCCGGCGGATCTCCACGGCGGACGTCTAGACTCCGTTGCTCCACCCGTTCGCAGGATGCACGACCCGCAATACCGGTTTAACGACGGCGGGGTGGCGCGGAAGAATGTCCTCGAGCTTGCGCAAGCACCGTCGACGAGGGAAACTGTAAAGAACACGGCGGACGCGCTCGCGCCCGGACGTTATACGACGCGTCTTGCTGTAGGTTGTCCTATCGTAAAAAAAGACCTGTTATCTCGTCGTCTCGGATAATCCCGATGCCGATTGGCTGGCTCGTTCGCGTATCATTGCTTACTCCGACAACTATCACGAGCGAGCGTCATCGCGGGCGGATTACGTGTTTTTTGATAGTTTCAGCGTCAAGGGGGAAATCAAATAATGTAAAGCAATGTGTAATGTTAAGATTGCGGTATATAAAATGTTGAATTAATGACTATGCAACATTATGGCGCTGTCGAGCGGAATTCACTGGTCAAGTCACGTTTAAAAGGAGTTGATGATTAATACATCGAGGGGAAAAATATCGGAAATATCTGAAATATGAAAAATATTTATTCTATTTGGTATTTTGTAATATATTTATTTATATTAATATGTATATATATATATTTTTTTTTTTACATACTGAGAAAGAATTTTTTTCAAATGGGAAAGTGTATACGTTTTTTTTTTTAAACTACAGCTTTTCATGAAAGCAGTCATTTATTTTATGTTTAGATGGAAGAATTTTCAGATCTAATATGTTGTTAGTGCCCGTTGTGTAAATATTTTTGTTATTTTTTTCATATGCGTGCGTTTTCTCCCAATGTAGTAATAAATACATACCTGAATAAATTAGTAAATGACCAGATATGCGGTTGGAGGTATTCAAGGAAACTTATCGATTTCTTGCGCGAGAGAAGATTACAGTAAATTTTCATCCTGCAGAATGCGGGGCGCGAGGCACGTAAACCGACGCACGCGTGGAATATTTCGACGAACGAAGTCGATCGCGCGAGTACTTTCCATGGAAAAGCGAGGAGCACTTCGTGATCGGTAATGAGCCACGGCATTCGCCTTATCTGAGAAATGTCCGAAGAGCGGACGAGCCGCAAAAATAGGAAAGACGGCGTGAGTCTCGCGGATTGAAGCGACGCCCGCCTGGCGTGCTATTTTAATGCGAGAGATGATCGATTAAGTATTCCACGTGCGGCAAGGCGCGTGGCCGTAATTGAACGCACGTCTCTCGGTTTTACACGCGTCGCGAAACCCGGGCATCACGCTCTGAAAATACCGTAGCGAGAATTCCGACGACTCGCGCGGGTTTGTTTCGTCATACCTCGCGCAATCTCCGCAAATTCGCAACTCCATCTCTGTTTCTTCATTTCCGCGTCTGCACACTTCTTCACGACAAATGGATCTCGCTTTCGGAAATCCTCCACGATTTCATTTTTGTCGGCACGCAAAGCGGACGGCTCTAATTTCACAACAACCCAAATGTTCGGTCAAAGAGAATTCGCTGCACGGTATAAAATTTTGTGTTGAATTTGACACCATTTCACATGTGCCAAACGGTCCGTTGAAATTTTTGTGTTAACACAAGGTGAATATGTCGAAAGTATAAATATTATGCCACTAACACACGTTGAATGTCGACGCAACATAAAATGTTGTGATAACATCAACACAATATGTCAAATTAATACACGGGTGTGCTAAAAATTTAACATAAAGATTTTAACAAGCACTGATTTTAACACAAGTACGAAATGTTTTTACTATGTACTTTTTACAAAAATATTTCGCCGTTTTTAATCCTCACATCCTCCTTTTCAGCCCGTTTTTAACTTGTTCTATCACTTTTATGCTCGTTTCTTCCACCCTCAGGCAGTCTATTAAGCGAAAGAATTTGAGCGCACGCGAGTATGCATGAGTATTTCTGAGGAGATTGCCCTCAATTTTTAATGCTCCTTTCCCAGCTGATGAGTGATCGCTCGTTAATACGTTAGTCTATTCAGTTTCAATACGGAAAGAAATTAAAGAACACGTTAAAGAGACGTGCGTTTTACTCGTGCCATTTTAAAATGTAAAACGTAAGTGTTTGTGAGCGTCAAACAAGTATTTCGTACTCGTGGCTGAATGTATGTTTGCGCACTCCAAATTTACACAGCACTGTATTTACCATCGTAAACACGTTCGCCGCTCAAAAATATTCAATATTATAATTAACATCATTCGGGCATAAACTCGTGCCCAGTTCGCTTTATAACCGCTCGTTATCATAAAAACGTGCCCCTCGCCGACCTAAAAATCAACTCATGAGAATGCGCGCTTTCGCTAGTCAAAAGCTAACAGTTTCTCGCGAGATATTTCGTGAAAAACGGCGAGACATTTCTATAAGAGAGTCCTCCGGTCCAGGAATAGAAACGCGCGAGTTAATCGAGCTTTGCATAAATACCGGACTTATACAGATTTACCACGCGGAATCGCCGGATGTTTATACGACAGAAGGAGAGACCGAGAAAAGACTTGAGCACCTCTGTCGTGCGACGTGCGAATCGCTAAGACCGAACGCGTGTCTCGCTCAGGGGCTCACGGTTCCCAGATGAATCATTAGCCGTGGCGGCAAAAATGATAATCCCACCTCTGCGATAAATTCGCCGCTTTGTATATAACTCTCGATCTTCGCATCGTGCAAGAACAATATATCACCGTATCGATTGTCCGCCCTCGGGCTTTGCACCGAGAGCAAGTCGAGAGCTCACAGCAGCACCGAGAAAGAAACTCTCTGAATGAGAGAGGGAGAAAGATCACTATACTCTCACACGCATGATGTTACGAGAATCTTCCGGCGCGATCCGGCCGGCCAGCCGGTCCGCCCGTTCCTCTATTCCGCTTATAATCGCGTTTCGCGCACTTATACTCGCGGGCGCGCGCGCGCTCGCTCGCGTGGGCGAGGGTGAAGTATGAGAACAGAAACCGAGAGGGAGAATCGTGACCGCAACGGCGTGCATAATAAGAGGGCAATATTCTCGCGGCATAGCACTCTACCGGGTCTTGCAAAATATTTCGCGCTCGTAAATATTTACAACAAGTTTCCGCGCGAAACGTAGTAGTGCTCGCTCGCGAAATATCGAGGGCGAATCAAACGAGATATATTCTCACCGTTTTCCCGAGTCGACATTCCACATTAAGTCTTCATGCGGAGGAAACGGAGGTTAAGTTTCCACTCGTAGCGTTAAAGAAGCACAATGAATGGCCCCTTCAATGCTACAAAGGGAATTTAGTCCTTCAGAATCGAAATGTTACTTCTGCATTTAAGCTTCGAGTGGAGAAAACGGCAGTAACTTTCTCATTTGTGACGATCAAGCGAGCACGATAAAAGACCTTTGGACACTTCATGAAGAACTAAATTAGACTTAAAGTAGGACTAAAATGTCGAATCGGGGTCGAGCGAAACTCGTGAAGGAAGCTGGAAACGTCCCGAAGGAGCGGCAAAACAACGAGTCTCGCTCTCGTCCACCGTTAGTGACGAATGACTTCATAACGCACGAAAAGGCCGAAGTATCAAAGCCGACGCTATCGACCGCAGGACTGAAGGCGCGAGGTCGAAACGGTGGCGACCTGCCTAAACCGGAAATAAATGGCCGAAATAAATTTTTACGACAAGGATATACGTTATCGCGTCTCGTTAGCCGACTCGCGATCGATCTCCGCCGCGGCGATTAATGTCTCCTCGCGAGACGAATCCGTGTAAGATCCAGGCACAAAAGGCGCTGGAAGCGCCTCAAAGACTCACGCACCGCGGGAGAGACCACCGTTTCCTGTCTCTTCGCGAAACCGGAGAGAGAGAGAGAGAGAGAGAGAGAGAGAGAGAGCGAAAAGCAGATAAAACCGCCAGGCGAAATATCCAGGACGACCGCTCCTTTCGCGATCTCCGTCGTCGCTGGTGATCGATCGAGAGGAAACGACGTCCGCACCATCGTCGGCGAGGCCCCCATCATTTCTACTTGACGTAAAAATGCGGGGAAAATGGAGCGTGCAGGGAAAAAAGGAACGAACGGGAAATCGGGGAAAAGTCGTCAAGCGAGTCGGATAGATCGAGAGCCTCCCCCGACACGCACGTCCTTCAAAGCGACTTTTCGTTCCGTTCGATGGAGGCGCATCTCGATTCGCGGAGATCGCCGACAGATCGAGCGACTTTTCCGGGTGGAAGGTGGTAGTAGGGTCGTTAAACCCGCACGAACATGCGAGTAGAGCGAGAGAACGAGCTTACCTTCGAGATTCGCCATGGAGAACCTGTAGCTGTCGATCCTCGGCGTGTTGATGTCCGAGTTAAAGGGCCTGAGGGTCGCCGAGCTCACATTGTCGAGACCCTGCAACAAGGACAGCGAGCGCATCAGCTTACGTTGTCGTGTACGCTGCACGACGTAAGTGGATGAACAGAGGAGAGAGATGGTGAAAATTATTTCGGGAATTATATCAGCACGGTACACGGGAAAAATAATTTTGCTATTGTAACAGAACGTCGTTGGGACAACAATAAAATTTAGTTGGCATAACCAAATCATTTTGCCGGCCGTACATTCAGAAAACGACAATTAATATATTTAAAACTATTCGAAAGCCATACAATCTTTTTCCTGTCATCATAGTAACTAACAATTTGTAACAACTGTGCCAGAAGCAAATTTTTCTCCGTGTGTGTGTGTATATATATAAGTATATATATTTTTTTTCGATAATAATAACAATAACAGATTTTTTTCTCTATACAATATAATACAAATATATTTACATTTTAATATAAGTAGCACACTATGTATCAGAATAGGTTCATGGGTGGTTTCAATGAGGCGATATATGAAATAGTCATGAATATCGAAAACGTCGGTCGGAAAACGCCGGTGACAGAAAAACGCGTAATTCGTATTCAAGCCGAATACGTGCGACTGCGGTAACCTCCGGCGGCGTCTCTCTCTTCCTTGAGAATTCAAGTCGATCCCGCGTAATCAGTTCGGGATCCTTCTACGTTTCCACTCCCACCGGCCTCCCACCTCCCGCTGCGGATGTGATTTGTACGGAGCCGTCGGATTCGTTCACCCAATTTCCGCCGAATAATTCCTGATAATGGCGGCACGAGGGGAGAAAATGGATTTTATGTGATAGTTATACCTGGGATCACCGGATCCTGCGAAAGCCTCTTCTCCTGACTTACGTCCCTTCCTCGGTCGTTCCGGATCATAAGTTGAGGAATCGAATTCCTTCTGATCGTTATTTTTCTTTTTAACATTATCTCAAAGTTGCATTGTGCAAACGGCACATTGTGGAAATAATAATAGAGGAAACCAGAACGGGTTAGTAAAGCGTTTCGTTTAAATATTTATTGTGAAAGAAATAATGCGAAAGGAGTCGCAAAATGTCCCTTTCGGAATTTAGGTACTAGTCTCCGATTTTTATTGATATCGGAAAAATAATACGATTAACGAAAAGAAAAATGTGATTTGAGAACAACCGAAAGTCTCGAAATTGTTTCTTCGTCGTGACTGGATAAACTTAAGTGGCGTATGATTAGTTAATTTTTTATTAGTTAATTTTGAAATTTTCTGCAGTTGTGCGATATTTTGTGTAACAAGAGTAATGTTTATATTTGTAAAATTATATCGAAATCAAAGAAATGAGTGGATGGGGCAGGTTTCGCAATTAGGTTTGTAAAGTGCGAAAAGTCGCACGAATATGCCAGTTGGGTTTAGCGCGTGTCAACTGGCTATCAGGAGACGTACTTTCTACTATTATATTATATATTGCATATACCGGTGGGGGAGTTAGAACCAATAAACAATCATTACAATTACTTGTATTGTTTTAAACTACTTGTACCAAACGCACAATCGACTAATTAATGTAATGAATAGTATAATTGTCGTTAGTTTCGTTGAAGGCTGCATGAATGAAATTGTTTATATTAAACAAAGCCTGGGGGTTACTTCTATATCGTGACCATTAAAAATATATTATAAATAACCCTTCATTTATCACTAAATATTATCGCTTCAAATATATATATATATATTTTTTTTTCCACAATATGCACAATATATGTATATATATAATGCTAACTACTCTGGGCTGCTTTCGGGCCTACACCGGCTCCGGTCATTGTTAGATATATTCCTAGATATATTCCTAGATATCGTCAGAAACGTCGATGAGAAGCTTCGTGATAATTTAAAATCAGCGAGAAGAAAATATGTTCTCCGGCGATTCGCTCTTTAGGTGATCTAGATTACGCCGCGCGGCGATGAATATAAAACGATAATTATTTGTGTACGAACGTTGCACTTGTGATTCATTTTTCATGCACCTTCGCGATAAACATCTCTCCCGTTATAAATACAACAGTGGAATATATTCTGATCTTCAGCGTGGGTTATTAGAAGATTAATCGTGAGACGGGGAACGTTATCTATTCACGAAATTATTCCCCGCCAATCGTGATAATTAATCTCGAGAAACCGACAGCCTCCCCCCTCTCGCTATATAAATTATTAATACACTCGGGCGGGCGGTATAATACGTATGTAACCAATTTCCTGAGAAGCAACGCTGCAATCGCTCGGAATTACCGACTACATTATCCTAAGTATCTCTCGTAAGGATAATCCGCGGATGCACACACCCGGAGAACCTGTGAGTAACAAAAAGTCCGGGCTTTAAACTTTCTTTCTAACTATAATCAAGTTACAACGTTTCCCTCTCCGAAAGTGTTATCGCGGTGATCGCCTCTGGATCTTGCGATCTTTTTGCTTCCGTTAGCATCGACTTTTATCGGAGGCGAAGAAACTTTGTTTTTAACGGGCACTTCCGCGAGGTAAAAATAGACACCGCCTTTGTGTTACCGCTAAATCGACGGAGCTGATTAGCCGGCACTTACGACACATTTTGCGCTATAAAATCACAACGGAGACGAGGAGAAAGAGAGAGAGAGAGAGAAGCAGGCAGGCAGGCAAGCTGACTGGCTGGCTGCTTCTCAGCTTCTGAGGATGGCGCGATAACATGCCTCCTATGATCGCGCTTTTACACGGACTGCCTGGCCGGCATGCATCGATAACCCGGGAGAGGTGCGAGTTATGATGGTGAACGACCTGGTGGTCGCTACTGGGTCACTGAAGTTTAATGCGCGAAGCAAGTAGCTCAATACAATGTAAATGGACCGCACACGGCCACCTTCCCGCCGCAAACGGAATTCTACCGTGTTGTCGTAAATTTACCGGAGAGATGTATAAACAGTAGTGCGGGGCCAACGTTAAAAGCCCGAGTACACCAGCACGCGTGCGTTGGTGTTTTATAACTTTACCGAATTTATATATA